TATGGCACTATCATCCCTGTCACTACCATGGTACTACCATTCCTGGCACTACTATGGCACTATCATCCCTGTCACTACCGTGGTACTACCATCTCTGGCACAACTATGGCACTATCATCCCTGTCACTACCGTGGTACTACCATCTCTGGCACAACTATGGCACTATCATCCCTGTCACTACCGTGGTACTACCATCTCTGGCACAACTATGGCACTATCATTCCTGTCACTACCATAGTACTACCATCCCTGCCAATACTATGGGACTATCATCCATGTCACTACAATGGTACTATCCCTGGCACAACTATGGCACTATCATCCCTGTCACTACCGTGGTACTACCATCCCTGGCAATACTATGGGACTATCATCCATGTCACTACAATGGTACTATCCCTGGCACTACTATGACACTATCATCCCTGTCACTACCGTGGTACTACCATCCCTGGCACAACTATGGCACTATCATCCCTGTCACTACCGTGGTACTACCATCCCTGGCACTACTATGGCACTATCATCCCTGTCACTACCGTGGTACTACCATCCCTGGCACAACTATGGCACTATCATCCCTGTCGCTACCATGGTACTACCATCCCTGGCACAACTATGACACTATCATCCCTGTCACTACCATAGTACTACCATCCCTGGCAATACTATGGGACTATCATCCATGTCACTACAATGGTACTATCCCTGGCACTACTATGACACTATCATCCCTGTCACTACTGTGGTACTACCATCCCTGGCAGAACTATGACACTATCATCCCTGTCTCTACCGTGGTACTACCGTCCTAGCACTACCTCGGTGCTATCATTCCTGGTACTACCATGACACTACCATCTTTGGCACTACAATGGCATAACCATCTCTGTGACTACCATCCCTGGCACTACCATCAGTGACGCTACCATCCCTGGCACTCTCATTCTTGTCACTACCATGGAGCTACCATCTCCGTCTCTTTCATGGTACTACCATTCCTGGCACTACCACTCCGGCACTACCACTTCTGGCACTACCATTGCACTAACATCACTGGGACTACCAAGGCACTACCTTCCATGACAGTACCATAAATGGCGCTACCATCCCTGGCACTACCATCCCTGGCACTACCATCCCTGGCACTACCATCCCTGGCACTACCATCCCTGGCACTACCATCCCTGGCACTACCATCCCTGGCACTACCATCCCTGGCACTACCATCCCTGGCACTACCATCCCTGGCGCTACCATCCCTGGCACTACCATCCCTGGCACTACCATCCCTGGCACTACCATCCCTGGCGCTACCATCCCTGGCACTACCATCCCTGGCACTACCATCCCTGGCACTACCATCCCTGGCACTACCATGCAGATCCCACACTGGTCACAGATGCCTCACACATGGTCGCTCACAGAAGCAATCTTCTCCCTGTGTTGAATACAACACCGTTTCTGCCCTCTCTATCCTTCCTACTCTCCCTGTTCTCCCTGCCCTCCATGCCTTCCCTACCCTCTCTGTCCTCCCTACCCTCCTTGTTCTCCCTACCCTCCCTATCCCCTATATTCTCCCTTTCCTCCCTGCCCTCCCTGGCAACCCTCAAACTCTAACCTGGAGTCAAATGTAATCTTTATATAAAGGTATTAACAAAAGTAACCTTAAATTACAACATTGTACCAGTACAATATTGTACCAGCACAATATTGTACCAGCACAATATTGTACCAGCACAATATTGTACCAGCACAATATTGTACCAGCACAATATTGTACCAGCACAATATTGTACCAGCACAATATTATTGTACCAGCACAATATTGTACCAGCACAATATTGTACCAGCACAATATTGTACCAGCACAATATTGTACCAGCACAATATTGTACCAGCATAACATTGTACCAGCACAATATTGTACCAGCACAATATTGTACCAGCACAATATTATTGTACCAGCACAATATTGTACCAGCACAATATTATTGTACCAGCACAATATTGTACCAGCACAATATTGTACCAGCACAATATTATTGTACCAGCACAATATTGTACCAGCACAATATTGTACCAGCACAATATTGTACCAGCATAACATTGTACCAGCACAATATTGTACCAGCATAACATTGTACGAGCATAACATTGTACCAGCACAATATTGTACCAGCACAATATTGTACCAGCACAATATTGTACCAGCACAATATTGTACCAGCACAATATTGTACCAGCACAATATTGTACCAGCATAAACATTGTACCAGCACAATATTGTACCAGCACAATATTGTACCAGCACAATATTGTACCAGCACAATATTGTACCAGCACAATATTGTACCAGCATAACATTGTACCAGCACAATATTGTACCAGCACAATATTGTACCAGCACAATATTGTACCAGCATAACATTGTACCAGCACAATATTGTACCAGCACAATATTGTACCAGCACAATATTGTACCAGCACAATATTGTACCAGCACAATATTGTACCAGCATAACATTGTACCAGCACAATATTGTACCAGCACAATATTGTACCAGCACAATATTGTACCAGCACAATATTGTACCAGCACAATATTGTACCAGCATAACATTGTACCAGCACAATATTGTACCAGCACAATATTGTACCAGCACAATATTGTACCAGCACAATATTGTACCAGCATAACATTGTACCAGCACAATATTGTACCAGCACAATATTGTACCAGCACAATATTGTACCAGCACAATATTGTACCAGCACAATATTGTACCAGCACAATATTGTACCAGCACAATATTGTACCAACACAATATTGTACCAGCACAATATTGTACCAGCACAACATTGTACCAGCATAACATTGTACCAGCACAATATTGTACCAGCACAATATTGTACCAGCACAATATTGTACCAACACAATATTGTACCAGCACAATATTGTACCAGCACAATATTGTACGAACACAATATTGTACCAGCACAATATTGTACCAGCACAATATTGTACCAGCACAATATTGTACCAGCACAATATTGTACCAGCACAATATTGTACCAGCACAATATTGTACCAACACAATATTGTACCAGCACAATATTGTACCAATACAATATTGTACCAACACAATATTGTACCAGCACAATATTGTACCAACACAATATTGTACCAACACAATATTGCACCAATACAACATTGTACCAACACAATATTGTACCAGCACAATATTGTACCAGCACAATATTGTACCAACACAATATTGTACCAACACAATATTGTACCAACACAATATTGTACCAATACAATATTGTACCAACATAACATTGTACCAGCACAATATTGTACCAACATAACATTGTACCAACACAATATTGTACCAACACAATATTGTACCAGCACAATATTGTACCAACATAACATTGTACCAGCACAATATTGTACCAACATAACATTGTACCAACACAATATTGTACCAACACAATATTGTACCAGCACAATATTGTACCAACACAATATTGTACCAACATAACATTGTACCAACACAATATTGTACCAACACAATATTGTACCAACACAATATTGTACCAACACAATATTGTACCAACACAATATTGCACCAATACAACATTGTACCAACACAATATTGTACCAACACAATATTGTACCAACACAATATTGCACCAACACAATATTGCACCAATACAACATTGTACCAACACAATATTGCACCAATACAACATTGTACCAACACAATATTGCACCAATACAACATTGTACCAACACAATATTGTACCAACGCAACATTGTACCAACACAATATTGCACCAATACAACATTGTACCAACACAATATTGCACCAATACAACATTGTACCAACACAATATTGCACCAATACAACATTGTACCAACACAATATTGCACCAATACAACATTGTACCAACACAATATTGCACCAATACAACATTGTACCAACACAATATTGCACCAATACAACATTGTACCAACACAATATTGCACCAATACAACATTGTACCAACACAATATTGCACCAATACAACATTGTACCAACACAATATTGTACCAACACAACATTGTACCAACACAACTATTGTACCAATGCAACATTGTACCAACACAACTATTGTACCAGTACAATTATTTGTACAAATCTTCGGAAATTTGTAGATATTCATAAATAGAAAGTAACTGTAAGCTTAGTCAACAGGTTTTAAATACAGGCCAGGAGCTGTGACTCGACGCCTGCAGTCACAAATATGTGAGTACAGAGGGAGCCGCGGTTCGACCCCCGCAGCCTCACTCAGGTCACTACGCCCCCGCACTCCATATATTTTTTTCACTCAGACCAGAAAAAAATTTCAGAGTTATTTTCTGTCTGGTTTTATGTGATATATTCTGAGAAGTTTATACCAGTCTGAAACTAGAGCTATCTCTCTCTCTCTCTCTCTCTCTCTCTCTCTCTCTCTCTCTCCTCTCTCTCTCTCTCTCTCTCTCTCTCTCTCTCTCTCTCTCTCTCTCTCTCTCTCAGGGTTTAATAAGTCACAAAATCTGTACAATATTCTCTTTATTTTTCAAAGTACAAATATATGTATTAATGACAACGTCAGAACCAGTCATCAGTAGTTAGTAATGAACCTACTTAGTCACATCTCCCTAATTTTTACCTAATTACTATCTCTAATATTAGAAATACCAAGCAATATATATATATATATATATATATATATATATATATATATATATTATATATATATATATATATATATATATATATATATATATATATATATATATATATATATATATTATATATGTAAACTGTATAAACTTCTATATTAATTTGTTATATATATGTATTTCTTTAATATAGTCCTTTACGTTAGAAATATAGCTAATTCATGAATATTAATTGCTAGATGTAAAGGCTATACATTCATATATTTTTGTTTGTTTGTGTGTATGTGTGTGTGTGTGTGTGTGTGTGTGTGTGTGTGTGTGTGTGTGTGTGTGTGTGTGTGTGTGTGTGTGTGTGTGTGTGTGTGTGTGTGTGTGTGTGTGTGTGCACATGTCTAGGCATTACCCTCGTTCGGGTACTGGAAATCTTACGAGGGGTAGACCTAATGTGTGCAGGGAAGGGAAAGGAAGGGATGGGGAGGGGAAGAGGAAGAGGAAGGGAAGAGAAGGGGTAAGAAGGAGTGGGAAGAGTAGGGGGAAGAGGAGAGGGAGGTGGAGGGGGAGGAGGAGGGGGAAGATAACAACTCTAATAATGTTAGAGTAAAAGGAGGGGTGGGGGTAATTAAGTCAGGCTAATATGAACTAGCAGTTACCTTCACTATTATCTTGTTATAAATCGTAATAAGTTACTAACTGGTAAGTGATATGGTGAGTGGAACTTCCCGGAGACTATCGTAGTGACTAATATACCTTGTTAAGTGCTCTTCCTAACTACCTAACTACTACAGAACGAGCGCAGTTCACTCGTTAGAGATATCGTACTTGCAGATAAAATATCAAGTCGCTACTTAATATCGTAACATCGTCCAGGTGTTTCACTTACGTTGTTATCGTAAGTGCCAGAGAAGTGAACCTCGTTAATCAAGGGACGGTCTTGCCAGTCTGGTTAACAACAATTTTGTAAATGATCTTGCAGGTAAATGATGCGCCAGGAAGTGTAAAACATCGCTGGTGTAAATGCTGGTGTAAATAACACTACTATAAATTATAATGTATTTCCAGCCGGGAAGAATTTACAAAGCTGGGAATTATCTTCAATCATTCCGTTGTTCCTCTCCGTTGTTTATTATCCCCGGTAAACAAACAGACAGCAAACGGAAATCGACCTGAAGATCCAATTCTTCCTTTTTTCCTGTTCTGTCAAAGGGAAAGTAAAAAGTCTTGAAAGGCCTTCCTGCGAGGCGCCTCTGAAACCCTTCTCTGACTGGACAGTGAGCAGTCACGTCTTGGCCAACGAGGCGCGCGCCAGCTGGCGGCCACAGTCCTGATTGGCCCAACTGGAAGTTACGTCACCTTGCCTTCTCTTGCAGACCCCCGCCCCGCCTCTGTGATTGGCCAGGCTGCCCAGTTCTCAAATGGTATTTAAGCTTATGGTGGTCAGCTGCAGCGTTCGTTCCTCTTGGGGAAACTGACGCAACTTTCTGATGCCTTTGGAAGGGTCAGGGGAGCTATCAAGGACGTCTGGAGCTGGACTACTGGAGGCTCCCGGAGGCTAATAGACTCAAGGAGGATATTGGAGTCACCTGGAGGCTTCTATAGATTATTAGCGGCTTCTGGAAATTCCTGAAGGCTCCTGGAAGTTATTGGAGGCTCCTGGAGGTTCCTGAAGACTTCTTTAAGGGCACTGACAGACTACTTCAGTAGCTAAAGAAGCGACAGTGTAGCACTGTAGTCACAACCTTCCACTGCTCTCTCATTCACTACATACGCGGGAAAAGAATGTAAAAAAAAAATTTACTTGACTCTTGGACAATCGAAATCGAAATCTGAGTTCTTCGACCTGTCCTGAAGTCTTTGGTGATGTAGACAGACTAGTAACAGAGTCTGGAGAGATACCTTTAATTAGTCATATCTAAAGCGTCTGAAAACTTTCGTGTAAAGACCGTGCTCGAGTGTTAGGGAGGAAAGGCTAGACTGTGATCAACTGACGATTGGGAGTTGTTGGGTTGTGACCAGTTGAAAAGTTCGTGGTCAGTGATTTGTTATGCTTATGGCAGAGTAGTTAGTCAGGGGAGAAGTTAGACTGGGTCAGTGATGCTAATGGTCTCTCATAGTAGTTACAATTTTCCACAGAGACAAGCCATTGTATCAGATATAATGTTATTTTTGCAACAATGACTAAAATAGCCTGCAGTGTAACTGTCTGCAATGATATACTTCTCCTACTATTATATATAAAATAAACTACCTTATAATTTGTTTATATAAGAAAGAGAATTATTTGTATAATTGCCCTATAATTATTATTATTATTAAACTATAATATGTACATACACACAGCACCATTGTTCAAATTCTTGGTTAGTGTACAAGCCATGTATGTTATACCACCAATTATTCCAATATTTATAGTTCCATTGTAATCTTCTTCAGTGCCGTGGATCCCCGGCGGAAACAAGGCAATCTAACTCTAATTGCAACTCGAAATGTACACAAAGCTTTTGATAGCCTATGGCACGACGGCCTCATATTTAAACTTACAGACCTTCCAGACCTGCGCTGCAGAAACCAAGTGTCCGGGAAGAGGAAACACATGAATATTACTATTCAAGATTGTTTATCTCTAGTTTTTTTACACAGGGCACAAATGTGAATAGGAAGAATGGTCTCCACAACAATTCAATCAATGACTTTTCGATCATTTGCGTGTTGTATATGAATGACGCACTCGACTTTCACATGAGCACAAATGACTGTGGCTTGTAAGTGGGTGGGTGTGCAGGTGGACATAGCCTCTGTCTTGGCTAGGTAACCCTCTCTTTACACTTCCACTTACCACTTCTCGAGTTTTACCACTTCTTCAAGTGCAAGTGCCTGGATTAGTTCTTAAGTTGCTGTTGTACTCGCTGGCTTTGACAAGGTCTTCTTCACGTCCACTTGCCAGTCTTGGAAAGCATTCCAGCCCTAAGAAATATTCCAAAGCTAGGAAGCCTTTCAACAGTGGGTTGCCTTCCAGACCTGGTAAACCTTCTAGACCTGAAGGGTATTCCAGTCCTAACAGATATTCCAGACTTAGAAAGTCCTTCCTATGACTGGAAAGCCTTCCGATCATGGGAAGTCTTCCATACCTGGAAAATCTTTCAGCCACTCTACACACACAACATATTAATTAACCTTTTATCTGTAAAACTGTCCTCTATCTCTTTATTGAACCTATCCCTGTCCTAACACAAGATCATACAATGTTAACCTAATCAGTGGCTGACGCGAGCGTGTTAGATACAATCCACGATCCATTGGTTCAACTTTTAGCCCTGGAAGCGTCATGCACCAAACTGGAGACTTTACATACGTCTCGGAAGGTGTGGTGCATCTTTCTGGATCCAAAATTCTCTCTCTCTCTCTCTCTCTCTCTTACGTTCTTTTGGACAAACTTACGATTGGTGACCTACTGCGTCAACAAATGCTCATGAAGAGTACTGTGAGGGACCTATGAAAAGACGTAACCTGGACGCTCAACACTGACTTGTGGTCACTGCTTCCAGAGTCGTGTAGCTGTCACCTTGAAGTTCTGAAGCTCGCGAGGAAGAACGTCGAAGTGTCATGAACCTTGAGAGTGCTTGTGTGGAGGCAAGCTGACCATCGGACAGCTGTCGAGAGCTTATGTTGACATATCCTGAACCATGTCATGGTGGAACTCCCAGTCAATACTTACATGATTACGGACATCAGCTAGTCTTGATAAATATGTGCTAAATGATTTTAGTGTGCTACAGTGACGATGCATCTAACATTCGTATTCAATACTGTATTCTGAATTCCAGGACTATACGAAAAATTCTGGAATACTTACAACATATTTTTTCAGGCTATAAATATAAGGTGTCCAATACTCGTGGCTCTAGAGCAAATCTCTAAGCTAAGCTCACTACCAACAGTAACTTCCACGCCTTGTTTACAAGGTCTGGAATCACCATAGTAGCTCTCAAGACCTGGAAATGCGAAAGTTCAGTCACTAACAGGTCCAAACCACCTCGAAATGTGTGCTTTCAAGAGCCGATGTGAGCATGGAACACTTGGGTGTACTTGCTGTGACCATTTGCTGTGATCACTTACTGTGGCCACTTGCTGGGACTACTTGAGAAGGTAGATCCCAGCAAGCTGCCACTTTTCCGAGGGATGGGAAAGGGCTTCAAAGGCTTTTTCGGAAACTTTCGAAGTTTTGTAGACACAGAAATAAGATGGCCTGCACTTCCCCAGGGGCTACAAGAACTTGTAGAAACAGTGGTGCAGGAAGATGACCGCACTTCTCCAGGGGCTACAAGATCTTGTAGAAGTATAGGAGAAGGAAGATAGCTGAGGGGAGCGTGGTAGAGGAGACTTCTCTTGAGGGGGGAGAACCATTACAACCATCGTAGTCATCACAACTCTGAAGACAACCCTTCACGTACCTGGTGGAGGGAGGTACCTCACGTAAGTAAACACGTCAAGACATCTCATGTCAGTAAACACGTCAAGACACCTCACGTCAGTCCACACGTCTAACTCGCCGCACGACGTCACTGTTTGTTACAACGTCAAATAAAACGCTAGCGTCAGGTCAGACAACAACAAACAAGGGACATCAGTCAGAATGAATATGGCAGCAGTCAAAAAAAAAATTCTTTGACATCAGAACCAAAGAAAAAGGTTATAAAAAGTCACTTATTTTTTTGACTACGTCAAAAAAGGTCAAAATGGGTAATTTAATTGAGGTCGAAGAAGAGATAAATAAGACACTGCATATCCATGAAGCTTCCAGAAGCTTCTAGAAGCTTCCAGAAGCTTCCAGAAGCTTCTAGAAGCTTCCAGAAGCTTCCAGAAGCTACCAGAAGCTACCAGAAGCTACCAGAAGCTACCAGAAACTTTTGGAAGCTACCAGATGATTCCAAAAGCATCTGAAAGGTAATTTGCATCATTTAAAGGTAATGTGTGTCATTAAAGGTGGGATATAATTGGTTGTAATTAAAAAGTAACAGCAGACCAGGCAGAGAGAATAACAACAGAACACAAACACAACAAACACAGACACAATAAACACAAACACAGCAGAACAAACACAGACATAACACAGCAGACATAAACACAGACACAACACAGCAGATATAATCATGCCATAGAGGTGAACATGCAGACACAATGTTACATAAACAGTGAAAAATACAAGAGACAGACATAGAGAAACAAGTGAATATGAGAGATAATGAGAAAACGGAGGAGGAGGAGGAGGAGGAAGGGGAGGAGGAGAAGGGTAAGAGGAAGTGAGAGGAAAGATAATTAGATTACATTATATCACTTATGTAATAAAGATTAGATTACTTTATGACACTTGTGTAAAAAAGCGAATTAGAATAAATTGTCTGTGGAGAATTTTTCTCCAACTGGGCGGGGCGACGACCCCTCTCAAGGGGGCCACAACCTCTCTCTTCGTTCATTTAGCAGAGTTAAAGCAAGATCTTATATATTGCAATGTAGGGTAATTTAAACATACCAGAAACGTCCATATATCTTAGCACACGTTCCTTACTAAGCAGTACTAGACTGCATTGGTCACAAGACACTTATGTTAGACAGGGGCGTTACCAAGAACTCTTTATCCTTGCGAGAGAATCTGCAGCATAATATTTTCTCATGTTCTAGGAAACTTCTGTTCCTCATACTCTTAAAAATCTGATATGCCTCTAAGTCTAACCTGTTAATACAGCTAGTGCATTTGATTCCATAACCTGCACCTTGGACTCAAGGAATCCACTCTCCTTGATTCTGCTAAGTCGCCAGAGCTGGCACCTAACGACTGTAGACATCATGTAAGCAGAAACGTGACTGTAAATAGGGGTGCAGGAGGCTTCAACAGACAGATTGCCATCACAATGAGTGCATCAATGGGTGAATATGTAGGCTAAGCGAATGAATGAGTCGCCGGCAAGGCCACGCCACATTGAAATGTAGAAACATTCGTGGTTATAATCGTGTGCTCTTTGCGAAACCCAAGTCGTGTACCGACAACCTCCAGGAAGAAGGAAACTGTCTCTGCCATGAGCGAATGAGCGAGTACTGCGGGAGAACTATTCTCCATGTCGCTTATTCATACACGAACGAGCATTAAGGGGAACTTTCCCCGTACTGTGGACATTATCCTCGGATATAGTTTACAAGTTGAACTTGTGGATAAATGATGGGCGTCAGTTGATTTTCAATGTGCTAACGTGATGGATCGCTTGAAAACGTCCAGCGTCACATCTTCTTCAATCAAAACATCAATACCAGTGTTATGCTATATGGGTACGATACACACACCCAGGTAAGTCATATCAAGGTTTATATTTTACCGTGTTAGCTGCAACTGATAAGTGTTGACGTGGAGTTTGACAGGGCTAACCAGTAGACGCCTGGAAACATGGTCCAGCGTCCAAACACAGGTGACAGACGTGGCCTCACCTAGCAGTAGTACTTGCGTCCTAACAATAGCAACCGGCTCTCTCACAGCCCAGTGGGAACTATGATAGTTGACATCGCAGGAGACACCCCCAGGGGGAGGCTGCTGTGACCTGTGCTAATTACCCCACACCAACAGTGATCTTTTTATTCTATCATTTCTTATACTCATCCCAATATTCCCTCACATTATGACACGTGTAATAAGGAGGATTAGATTACATTATGACACCTGTGTCATGAAGAGAGTTAGATTACACTGACACTTTTGTATTAAGGAGAATTAGATTACATTGACACTTAAGTAATAAGGAGAATTAGATTACATTGACACTTGAGTAATAAGGAGAATTAGATTACATTAACACTTGAGTAATAAGGAGAATTAGATTACATTATGACACCTGTGTCATGAAGAGAGTTAGATTACACTGACACTTTTGTATTAAGGAGAATTAGATTACATTGACACTTAAGTAATAAGGAGAATTAGATTACATTGACACTTAAGTAATAAGGAGAATTAGATTACACTGACACTTGAGTAATAAGGAGAATTAGATTACATTTGGGTGACAATAATTGTTTTAACATAAGTAAGATAAGATTTACTACCATTAAGGATAAACATCGTTGAAGGTGATGCTCACTTGTTTATATCTCCTGGTGTTTATTCTTAATTCTTTGTGTTTATATTAATACCGCCGGCCTGTGTTAGTCTGCTAGGTTTGAAGTCTATCTACTGCACGATGGTCACCGAGGTTGCTAACATCAGTGTATACACACACACACACACACCTGTCAGTGTATATATATATATATATATATATATATATATATATATATATATATATATATATATATATATATATATATATATATACACTGAGAGATTACCCAGCATTGGGTGTATATATCCCAAAGAGACTAACTGGTTGGTTAACGGGGTTTGAAGTCTATCTACTGCACGAGGGTCATTAAGGCTGCAAGTCTCCTGCTGAAAACCAGTCAAGAATATTTTTTAACACCAAAAATAATGATACAAGTATACTACCAGTGTATATTCACTAAGATACGAATATTTCTCAGTGTATATACATTGAGAAAACATACCTCCCATTGTATATATATATTAAGATATATACCACTCAGTGTATATTCACTGAGATACATACCTCCCAGTGTATATACAATGAGATACATACCTCCCAGTGTATATACACTGAGATACGTACCTCCCAGTGTATATACACTGAGATACATACCTCCCAGTGTATATACACTGAGATACATACCTCCCAGTGTATATTCACTGAGATACATACCTCCCAGTGTGTATACACTGAGATACATACCTCCCAGTGTATATACACTGAGATACATACCTCCCAGTGTATATACACTGAGATACATACCTCCCAGTGTATATACACTGAGATACATACCTCCCAGTGTATATACACTGAGATACATACCTCCCAGTGTATATACACTGAGATACATACCTCCCAGTGTATATACACTGAGATACATACCTCCCAGTGTATATACACTGAGATATATATATCTCCCAGTATATATATCACATTATAACCATACGTAAAATAACATCACATACTCTAAAAATTTAGGCTGTATAATTTAGGATAATTTAGGCTGCATAATTTAGGATAATTGAAGTTGCATAATTAAAGTTAGTGAAAAAGTTAGCCGTAGAGTGTTATAATGATGTGTTGTTAAGGTGAGGTTATGAAAAAGGCGTCAGAGGGGTTGGCACAGGTGTCTTGATCAACTTAACTGTTAGTGCAAGTCTAAAAACAGCTTAAGTTTATGTTCTTCAGACTTTGTAAGTCTTGTGAGACGCTGTTGCTGGAACACCGTCTAAAAAAACGCTGGAAAGTGGAGGAGAAAGTGAGGGAGAAAGGTAAGGAGAAAGTAAAAGAGAAAGTGAAGGAAAAGTTAGAGAAATTTAAAGAAAAGTAAAAAAGAAAGTGAAAGAAAAAATCAGAGAAAGTGAAAGAAAAAGTTGAGAAAGTTTAATAGAATGTGAAGGAGAAAGTGAGGGAGAAAATAAATAAGAAAGCAAGGGAGAAAGTAAAGGAAAAAATGGGAGAAAGTGAGGGAAAAGTGAAAGAGAAAGATAAGAGAGAGATAAAATTAAATTAAACAATAACAGTATGGAAAAAGCGAAAGAGAAAGCTGAAAAGAAAGTGAAAATCAAAGGAGAAACCAATAGAGAAAGTGATGGAGAATGTGAAAGATAATCAAGAAAAGAAGACAGACAAGAAGTAACAAAAAGGCAAAAAGAAAATGTAGAGAAAGTGAGGAAGAAAGTGAGAACTGGAAAAGAGAAAGTGAAAAAAAGAGGTAGGGGGAGACGGTGACGTAGAGAGAAAGAGGTAAGGAGAGAGAGGGGAGTGAAAGTACGGAGGGAAAGAAAATGGGAAGGAGTAGAGAGGGGAGGGGATAGAGGGAGGGGAGATAGAGAGGGGAGGGGATAGAGGGAGGGGAGATAGAGAGGGGAGGGGATAGAGGGAGGGGAGATACAGAGGGGAGGGGATAGAGGGAGGGGAGATAGAGAGGGGAGGGATAGAGGGAGGGGAGATAGAGAGGGAAGGGGATAGAGGGAGGGGAGATACAGAGGGGAGGGGATAGAGGGAGGGGAGATAGAGAGGGAAGGGGATAGAGGGAGGGGAGATACAGAGGGGAGGGGATAGAGGGAGGGGAGATAGAGAGGGGAGGGGATAGAGGGAGGGGAGATAGAGAGGGGAGGGGATAGAGGGAGGGAGATACAGAGGGGAGGGGATAGAGGGAGGGGAGATAGAGAGGGGGAATTACCTCTGGTGTGTGGACCAGGAATCTGTTATTGAGGTGAGGAAATTGGCAGTCTGAGATGGATGCTGAGGCAGGTGGTGGGTGGCAGGTTGTGGGTGGCGGGCGGTGGGAGTGGGCGGCAGGTGGTGGGAGGTGGGTGATGGTGGGCCAGTGGGTGATGGGTGGTATATCACTGTTTGTGAAGCCACGCACTTGTTAGGAAAGAAAGAGAGAGAGAGAGAGAGAGAGAGAGAGAGAGAGAGATGCTACCTGGAATACCCTGGATATTCCTGGAACTCCATGGGGAATCCTGGAACGTCTTGCATATCCCTGGAAATCTGTGAGTATACTTGTAATAACATCTGTGTTCCTGAAAAACTAGAGGTATCCCTGGAAAGTCAAGGGTATATCTGGAAAGTCTTGAACATCCCTAGAAAGCCTTGGACTTCCATGGAAGGTCAAGGGGTCTCTCTGGAAAGCTTTGAATATCTGCTGACTTGGATTTAATTTATAAAGCAATGAGATACATGTATACAAAAACTGTGTGTGTGTGTGTGTGTGTGTGTGTGTGTGTGTGGGAGAGAGAGAGAGAGAGAGAGAGAGAGAGAGAGAGTGAGAGAGAGAGAGAGAGAGAGAGAGATAGAGACTGCCACTTACACATGTCTGACGTTGTTGAGACCAGTTCCTGAAGCTGCACCTTTGGTGACGGTCACCACCATGGAAGCCGACAGTGGAAGGAAGAGGTATTTAGGTCGGTAGGAGGAAGAGGAGGAGGAGGAGGAGGTCCTCAGGACGGCAGGAGGAGGAAGATGAGGTCTTTCAGTTGAAAGGTAGAGCAAGACAGGAGGAGCAAGCGGTTTTTAAGACGGAAGGAGGAGAAAGAAGTGCTTTAGACAGGCGTAAAAGGTGCATAAGACGGGAGAAGGAGATCTTCAAGACGGGCGGTGCAGCAGCAAAAAAAGGTGAAGTGGTCGGTGCAGAGACAAGTTTACTTCAGGTCTTTAAAGCCTCATCTTGAAACTTATGCTTAGTGGAAAGATGTAATGTTGGTTGGTAAGAGTGAGCCTCGTGTTACTGGCCGAAGTGCCTTCTAGCAAGTAGCTACGGAACCTCATGATGTTCCTTGGCATATCTCCCAGTCTTGGGGAGGGGAATCTCCGCAAGGAGTCTCTCTCTCTCGCCTTGAAACAACAGCATTCTGTGCTTCTGGAGAGGCGGATGACATTGGCTGAACTAGCAGTAATAAGGCCCTGCGGCCAGTACAAGAAGCTCGCTGCTAGTTGTTCATCTTACTTCTGCTGGAAGTAGAAGCTGCCACAGTGAGACATGCGGATGATCTCTGTGTCTGTGGTCAAGGTACCGCTGTCCAGTGCACACGACCGGATCGTTATGCTCTGCCCTGTGTCATCTGTAAAATAAATTGCTGACAACAACGTCTTCTGTGTGTGTGTGTGTGTGTGTGTGTGTGTGTGTGTGTGTGTGTGTGTGTGTGTGTGTGTGTGTGTGTGTGTGTGTGTGTGTGTGTGTGTGTGGTGTGTGTGTGTGTGTGTGTGTGTGTGTGTGTGTGTGTGTTTATTTTGTGGGAGAAGTCATTTAATAGTATATAAATTTATATTTCTGGAGAGAGCGTAGCATTGCGCTGAGAATCGTAAGCGACGTCAAAAGTAATCCAATCAAATACATGATAGGGACTCCTTAAGTGTGTGTAACCAGGGCGGGCGACGAGGTGAGGCTCTGTCTTGGAGGAGGAGGAGGAGGAGGACGAGGACGAGGACGAAGACGAGGACGAGGACGAGGACGAAGACGAGGACGAGGACGAGTAGTGCAGCAGTCGTCGACCACAAGCCAACTAAAAATCAATACTATTTTTTTCTTCCATGTACACAATGTGAGTGGTCCTCGTGGGCAGGAACACTTGCCGGCTGCTCTTGACTGTGTCCCGCAGCATGTGTCAGCCTTGGACACACTCTGACAGTCACGACTGGAGGACAAACTCTCAGGGATCACAGGAATGAAGGACTGACTTTCAAGGACACGGGAATGAGGGACTCTCAGGTTATAAACTAGAGGAGAAATATAATGAGTGAGTCTAGTGTATCGTCGAGATGACAAGCATAACATTGTTCACTTCACAAAGGAAGGGGGAAGGGGTCACCTACACGCTACACTCAACTAATACACATGAGGGGCGTGAACATACACAGGTACCATGCTCTGGTAGGCCTTGTTTCTCTCACAACCTAAAATAATTCTTTATTATCACCAAACAACACCACGAACATCCTAACACAAACATGTCACTGACTATGGAGCATTCAGAGGACAGTATAGAGGATCACTGCTTGTGGCCAGCAACCATCCTCTTGTTCCAGGGTGGCAGAGCACCTGGATATCGGGTTGGCTATCCGAGGAGCATCTATATTTTAGAAAGGTTATATTGGCATCTAACAGTCGTCAAGGCAATGTTGAAATAACGACCCGAGGCTAATATTTCTATTAATCTCAGTTTTATTATCGTTTTGAGTTTGTTAGAGATGTCTAGGGATGAAATATACACAACACACATCTCAATTCAATGCTCACTATTGACATGTGTTGTTTTTCGTATGTTTATGTCAAACTAGAGGGCGAGTGAAGACTCGGGAGCCTAGAAACTAGTCCAGGTCAACTTTGAAAGTGAAGTAAAGAATGCGCACTACTGATTAAGTGTTTACAATCTGACCAGTGTCTCTGCCACCCTTCCACAATAGCAGCAGCAGCAGCAGCAGTAGCAGCAGCAGCAGCAGCAGCAGCAGCAGCAGCAGCAGCAGTAGCAGCAGCAGCAGCAGCAGCAGCAGCAACAGCAGCCACAGCAGTAACAGCAGCAGCAGCAGCAGCAGCAACAGCAGCCACAGCAGTAACAGCAGCAGCAGCAGCAGCAGCAGCAGCAGCAGCAACAGCAGCAACAGCAGCCACAGCAGTAACAGCAGCAGCAGCAGCAGCAGCAGCAGCAGCAGCAGTAGTAGCAGCAGCAGCAGCAGCAGCAGCAGCAGCAGCAGCAGCAGCAGCAGCAGCAGCAGCAGCAGCAGCAGTAGTAGCAGCAGCAGCAGCAGCAGCAGCAGCAACAGCAGCCACAGCAGTAACAGCAGCAGCAGCAGCAGCAGCAGCAACAGCAGCCACAGCAGTAACAGCAGCAGCAGCAGCAGCAGCAGCAGCAGCAGCAGCAACAGCAGCCACAGCAGTAACAGCAGCAGCAGCAGCAGCTGCTAGTTCATCAGCAAGGATCGTTGCATGGTGGCAGTGGTAACGGAGGGAATCACCTACCTTCCAGAGAGGACAAAGGCACCACAGTGTGACATCCTGGCTAGTTCAGTGTCCAGAGTGAGAGAGCCGGAGTCCACAGTGCACTCCCGGATTATCAGAGTTTGTCCATTGTCGTCTGCAATGAATAAGTGTGTTCCAGCTGCGTCTGGAACAGTATCTACCCTCGTCTACTATCGTCTACCCTCATCTACCTTCGTCTACTCTCGTCTACACCATACTCAGGTAGATGCGTCTGGAGCCTAAGTGTGTTCCACTCGCATCTGGAAGTATGTCTACCTGTCTACCTCATCTACCTCTCGTACCTCATCTACCTCGCCTACCTCATCTACCTCACCTACCTCATTTCTCTCATTTATCTGGTCTACACCCTCTGCACAACATTCAGATAGATAGAAACACGGAGGATCGATCCTCCAACACTTCCTATACTCATTGACCCACACTGGTTTACAGCCTTACATCAACAATTCCCACTCCTCAACTATGAAAAAAACGATAAACCCACAGGGGCAGGGGAAGAGGAGAGTAGCTTTAATTCCTTGGATGAAGAGCCTCTCTATAGGCATCAACGTATCCTGACCAGGCTATCTATTCCTTTCACTGCTGACTCTGTGACCACCAGTGTTACACACATGACCAGGAGCTGTGACTCGACTTCTGCAACCACATATAGGTGAGTACACACACCACACACACACACACACACACACACACACACACACACACACACACACCACACACACACATATATATATATATATATATTATATATATATATATATATATATAATATATATATATATATATATATATATATATATATATATATATATATATATATATATATGTTATCAGATAAGTAGATGATGTTAAGTAGATAAGTAGATAATGTTAAGTAGATAATAATTATTATTATTGAAAAAATATGTTAAATTGGTTATTAAAGGTAATAATTAAGAAGGCAACTTAGTAGGAGAGATGGAACATTTAAGTTATTATACGAGGTGAGGTGACTTAGACATGACTGGAACATGACTAAAACATGATTAAAACATGCTTCCTTTCTCCCTGTCTCCCTCCCTTCCTTCTTCCCTGCTTCTCTCCCTACCTACCTACCTACCTCCCTGTTTCTCTCCCTCCCTGTAACACTGACCATAGATGCCAGCCAGTTTGATGCAGGCCGTGGCAGGGAAGAGACCTCCCCTGCCTTTGCGCCCTGCCAGGCAGGGACTCTCCATCAGACCCACGGTAAAGTTGTTATGGAAGGGGTCCTCACAGCTGGGGTTGTCACCGTTCACTGACACACACTTGAAGCAGTCGATACCCTGGCACCCTGTGTGTGTGTGAGAGAGAGAGAGAGAGAGAGAGAGAGAGAGAGGAGAAATTACTCTTAATCTGATGTACAAGCTTAAAAGTGTTTAGTATAGAAGTAGAAGTAACAGTAAACAGATAAAGTTCAACGCTACAGCGTTGAACTTTATCTGTTATTAGTGATAACATCAGTCTGATGGGTAATTAAAGATTCTTAATAACCATAGGGTCATTAAGACTGCACCTCATCTCTACACTCCCATCAAGGTCACTTTAACACCTAAAATATATATTAAAGTGAATAATGATATATATATATATATAATATATATATATATATAAATATATATATATATATATATATATATAATATATATAATATTATATATATATATATATAATAAATATTATATTATATATATATATATATATATATAATATATACCTGCAGCCAGGTTAGGAACTTGAGCTGACTTTGCTGAGCTTAATGGAGCTTAATGGTAAGCTAACCTGGTCTAAATTAGCTTAAAATTAATTAAACTTGTTTAAGATTAATGGAATATAGTGTTCCAGGTTGATGTTGTTAGAGCAAGTTTACCAGTGTTAAACCATCAGTGAGGAACTTTGAACTTACTGGGTGAGGAACTTTGAACTTACTGGGTGAGGAACTTTGGACTTACTGGGTGAGGAACTTTGAACTTACTGGGTGAGGAACTTTGCACTTACTGGGTGAGGAACTTTGAACTTACTGGGTGAGGAACTTTGAACTTACTGGGTGAGGAACTTTGAACTTACTGGGTGAGGAACTTTGGACTTACTGGGTGAGGAACTTTGAACTTACTGGGTGAGGAACTTTGGACTTACTGGGTGAGGAACTTTGAACTTACTGGGTGAGGAACTTTGAACTTACTGGGTGAGGAACTTTGAACTTTCAGGAGTAACTAAGCCAGGATTAATACATGATGGAAAACGACTCATCAAAATGGAGATGCCCCGAGGCAGCTGCTGTCTACCTGACTGACACCATAGAACCAAACCAGAGGCGATGACACATCACAACCTCCTTGTATATCTATCACCATTAACAATAATAATAATAATAATAAACCAAAAAAACAAAAAGAAATAAAGCTAAACCATCAAAAGAAAAACCTTTGAGGGTAGAGAACAATCAGTTAATAAAAAACAAAAAATAAACCTGAATTTTCAATGTACAAAAAACAGAAACCTTAAAATGAATAAAAAAAAACTGTTTTAAATAACGGGGCAACAGAACAAACAGTGAAACAGTAACAAAATATTAACAGGAGTTTACTCACTGTAAAACAACAGTATCAAACTTCTGTCGAATATAATATTATTCATAAAAACAAAATATAATATATA